GCCTCTGCATGTCGGGTTGAGCTGGAAACTCCGGGAGGTGGTGGCGCCTTAGTTGATCCAGGTGGCGCCGCCACTCGCTGCCATCGGATAGGTGGACCCTGTAGGAGACGGGTCCGGTTACCTTGGTGACGGTGGCAGGCACCCGAGGGTCCCCAGAGTAATTACATGCCCAGACCAAGTCCCCGGAAGAGAAGGAACGGGAGGGATGCCCCAGGTTGCCAGGCTGAAGTCCTGAATAGAGGGGGTGTAGTATATCCAGGGTGGTCTGCAGGCAACGACCCATCAGAAGCTCCATGGGGCTTTGCCGTGTGAGTGGGCAAGGTGTGGAGTGCTGTGCCAGTAGGTAAGCATCCACCCTTGCCTGCCAGTAGCCACGGTCTATGTGGCCCAAAGCCTCCTTGGCCGATCGGACCGCCCTCTCTGCCTGGCCATTGGTAAGGGGCGACTGGGGCATGGCGGATTCCTTGGGCAGCCATATAGGACTGGAAGACTGCGGATGTGAATTTCGGGCCATTGTCGGACACCACTATGTCCGGCAACCCATGGGTAGCAAACAAGAATCGCAGAGCCCACACCGTACTCTCCACTGTGGTGGAGCGCATGAGGACTAGCTCCACCCAGCGCGAGTAGGCAACCACAGCCACCAGGAATACCTGGCCGTGGAAGGGACCCGCGAAGCCAAGGTGAAGGCGGGACCAGGGCCCGCAGGCATCTCCCACTCCTGGGAAGAGGAGGAGGGGGGAGATGGGTGGGACACCTGGCATGGGTGACATCTGCTGACCCAGGCCTGGAGGACCTGGTGGCGGAGGACCGAAGGGATGATCATGCAGTCGCCCCAGAGAAGGCAACCGCAGTGGAGTGACAGCTCCATCTGACGCATTTTAAAAGGGCGGCAGTCAGAAGGGATGCCCCCTGTAGGCCCGCCCCTCAGGACCCATGCCATGACCTGTGAGAGGACAGGGTCAGCTTGCGAGTGGGCGGCCACGTCAGAGGCAGTGAGGGGGAGGTCCAGCTCAGCGATGGAGAGGACAGAGAGGCAAGGGACNGGCGTAGTCCTGAAGGACAGCCGCCACGTCAGGGGGCGTGTCCGCCACAGCATGCACCCCAGTCAGGGATAAGTCCAGAGGGATGAACCAGTCAAGGCCTAAAATAGAGGGGAGGGGCTTTTGAACAACTAGGACAGGGAGAACAGCACAATTGCCCCCGTACTGAACCCGCACCCCATAACAGCCCAGGGTCAGAATGTTAGTCCCCTGGTAGTTCTTTAACAAAGTGTCCCAGGGAGATAGCTGGGACTTGGAGACTCGCGGGCACAGTCTGGTGAAGGTGGCCCAGGAGAAGAGTGACCGGGAGGAGCCCGAGTTGACCTCCATTAGGCAGGGGGAACCTTCAATAGAAACTTTGATGGAGATCTTCTGCGTACCTGCCGAGGCGAGGTGGACCGACACTGCAGGGGTGGCAGGGACATCCTCCGCCAGGGCGTAGCAATCATCGCGGCGGGCTGGCAGGCATCTGGCCGGTTGGTTCTTGGAAGGTGCTGGGGGAACGTAGACTGGAGGCTGGTTGGCTTGAGGCAGAGGTAGCAAGTTGGCCCAGCAGATCTGCGCCAGGTGGCCCTTCTTGCCGCAGCGGCGGCAGATGGCTGTCTTGAAAGGGCAGGCTGCCCGGACATGAGAGCCTCCGCAGCCGAGACAGGCGGCAGCAGCAGCAGGAGTACAAACTAGAGAAGGTTGTTGTGGCTGAGGCCGCCGAGGGATGGCCCTCAGTCGATCGATCTGGGCCTCGTAGAACTGGTCTGGCAGGGGAACCAGTTCATCGATGAGATTGGTGATATGCAAAGAAGGTGGCGGAGGCAGAGACGCAGGAGCCGGTAGGGCAGGCAAGGCAGGTTCAGTGGTCAAAGCGGGTCCAGGAGGCAGGTAGCGGGCCATCTCTACGGTGGACAGCTCCGCGAACTCTGCGGCCCTTGCCTCGTCGATGGTGAATGTGAGCATGATGTTGGTCTTGCCAAGAAGATGCTGTCTGAGAAAAAGGTCCTTAAGACCACAGACGAACTGCTCAGTCAAATTGTCCTCCAGGTCAGGGAAATCACACTGAGCAGCAGCGACTCGTAAGGCCTGGAGGAACTGATTTACTGAGTCAGTCGGCTTCTGAACGCACCAGCAGTATGCAAACCGGCGCGTAATTTTGGATGGTGTTGGGGTGTAATGGGCTTGGAGCCCCTCCATCAGTTCGTCCCACGACAGATCATAGACAGCCCGAGGGGCCGCGAAGGAGCGGGCCGTCGTGAACATTTTGGGTCCACAGGCGGTCAAAAAGAACCCGCACTTTCTGGCTTGCAAGTATCCCTGATGGTTGTTAGCAATTAAGAAACACTCGAACCGCTCTAAAAAGGCGGCCCAGGATTTGCCGGCCACTCCGAAAGGAGCGAAAGCGGGCATTCCAGCCATGTCAAGTAGCGGCTGAGGTGAAGCGAGGCGCGGAAGATTGTCTGGTCAATAGGCGGCTAAAAAAAATTGTTGCTTGCCCTGTAGGTCGTATTTAGAGCCTGGAATCCCACCAGCTCGTTGCCAGTGTTAGATTCTCGGAAAGAACCAGGTGGGAGGCGTCTGAGGTAACCGTAAGTAAAACGCATTTATTACAGGCACAAACAAACGACAGGAGTAGACCGGCACCCTTCCTCTGTCTGACAGCTTTTTATATAGAGCTGTCAGACAGGAGAACCAATAGCCGCGCGTATGACAGCCCGACAACTTGCAGGTCGCGCCTGATTGGCTAAGGCGCGCCTGGCTATTGCCGAGCTGTCATTCGTAAGTCCGAGGACTTACTCGGGATTCAACAATAGGCTGCAGCAGATGCTGGCTTTAGCACAGCAAACAGATGGAAGTAATGCTGTGAACAATGTATTCATTTCCTAGCTGTCTATTTTCTACTCGTGATTCTTGTCTTGCTTTGGATTGACACTGTGCCTTGACTTGGATTGTGCCTTGTGAACTCTTCACTTTTCTTGCNCTGGTCGGCTTGAGGCAGAGGTGGCAAGTTGGCCCGGCAGACCTGTGCCAGGTGGCCCTTCTTGCCGCAGTGGCGGCAGATGGCCATCTTGAAAGGGCAGGCTGCCCGGGCATGAGAGCCTCCGCAGCTGAGACAGGCGGCGGCAGCAGCAGGAGCACGAACTAGAGAAGTTGTTGTGGCTGAGGCCGCCGAGGGATGGCCCTCAGTCGATCGACCTGGGCCTCGTAGAACTGGTCCGGCAGGGGAAACAGTTCATCGATGAGATTGGTGATATGCAAAGAAGGTGGCAGAGGCAGAGAGGCAGGAGCCGGTAGCGCAGGCAAGGCAGGCTCAGTGGCCAAAGTGGGTGTGGGAGGCAGGTAGCAGGCCATCTCTACGGTGGACAGCTACACGAGCTCTGCGGCCCTTGCCTCGTTGATGGCGAATGTGAGCGTGATGTTGGTCTTGCCGAGAAGACGCTGTCTGAGAAAAAGGTCCTTAAGACCACAGACGAACTGCTCAGTCAAATTTTCCTCCAGATCAGGGAAATCACACTGAGTAGCAGCGACTCGTAAGGCCTGGAGGAACTGATTTACTGAGTCAGTCGGCTTCTGAACGCACTGGCAGTATGCAAACCAGCACGTAATTTTGGATGGCATTGGGGCGTAATGGGCTTGGAGCCCCTCCATCAGTTCGTCCCACAACAGATCATAGACAGCCCGAGGGGTTGCGAAGGAGCGGGTCGTCATGAACATTTCGGGTCTGCAGGCGGTCAAAAAGAACCCGCACTTTCTGGCTTGCAAGTATCCGTGACGGTTGTTAGCAATTAAGAAACACTCAAACCACTCTAAAAAGGTGGCCCAGGATCCTCTGGCCGCTCCGAAAGGAGTGAAAGTGGGCATTCCGGCCATGTCAAGTAGCGGCTGAGGTGAAGCGAGGCGCGCAAGATTGTCCGGTCAATAGGCTCCTAAAAAAATTGTTGCTTGCCCTGTAGGTCGAACTCAGAGCCTGGAATCCCACCAGCTCGTCGCCAGTGTTAGATTCTCGGAAAGAACCAGGCGGGAGGTGTCTGAGGTAACCGTAAGTAAAACACGTTTATTACAGGCAAGAACAAACAACAGGAGTAGACCAGCACTCTTCCTCTGTCTGACAGCTTTTTATATAGAGCTGTCAGACAGGAACCAATAGCCGCGCGTATGACAGCCTGGCAACTTGCAGGTCGCGCCTGATTGGCTAAGGCGCACCTGGCTGTTGCCGAGCTGTCATTCGTAAGTCCGAGGACTTACTCGGGATTCAACAATAGGCTGCAGCAGATGCTGGCTTTAACACAGCAAACAG